AACATAAATAAACAAATAAACAACAAAACAGAAACACAAAGTAAATCTAATCAATGCCAAGTTCAGTGAAATATCTTGACAATCCTCAATGTCTTAATGTCTATTATTATGTGTATTTTGGTGTGACTGTATCCTACAGTTAGTATCCTAACTTTTATTTAACTTGAAGAATATGCTGTATGCTGTATTCTGCTCAAGATTCCCAGTATGAATATAGCATGCAAATTGCCATACTGAAATTCCCTACAGTACTGACAAGACGTTTAGACAGCTAGAGTAATTGACACACAAATGAATCCCCAGTGTACATATGTGTGCGGCCCCGTTCACACACAGGCATATCCCATAAGCCCTGATGTGTGGCATTGCCAGCTCAGACATAGCAGCAGGAGCAGCAGGCTCTCTCTACTGTTCTGTGTGACTGCTGATCAAAGTCTTGTATTTAGCTTTCTGACTGCTTGCAGATTATCTGCAGATCACTTGGTGTGAGCACAGTTTATGAATATGTTTCATAGTTCAGTGAGCACACATACTGTACATATACACATGAAATTACAAATGAAAAATAGGGCATATAGGCATAAGTGACCTATATATATAATAAACGGGTCTTGTAGAGTCCATGCCTCGGCAGATCGGTGCTGTTTTGGCAGCACACTGAGGACAGGCAGCATATTTGACAGTTGGTCATAATGTTTTGGCTCGTCTGTGTATTTAGATGATCATATGTTTTCCCCTTCAGTGGACCTCTAAAATTCAAAACCATAATTACTACCTATAATATTCAGATAAATAGTATTTAAAGTTGCCATGAAACGGAAGTCGCGATAGTGTTCTCTTGAAGTGACTTGTGATGTACACTCACCTAAACAATTATTAGGAACACCTATTAAATTTCTCATTAAAGCAATTATCGAATCAACCGATCACATGGCAGTTGCTTGGAAAGAATGGGAAAGAAGGGTGATTTAAGCAATTTTGATCGTGGCATGGTTGTTGGTGCCAGACAGGCCAGTCTGAGTATTTCACAATCTGCTCAGTTACTGGGATTTTCACGCACAACCATTTCTAGGGTTTACAAAGAATGGTGTGAAAAGGGAAAAACATCCATTATGCGGCAGTCTTGTGGGTGAAAATGCCTTGTTGATGCAAGAGGTCAGGAGAATTGGCCGACTGATTCAAGCTGATAGAAGAGCAACTTTGCCTGAAATAACCACTCGTTACAACCGAGGTGTGCAGCAAAGCATTTGTGAAGCCACAACACGCACAACCTTGAGGCGGACAGGCTACAACAGCAGAAGACCCCACCGGGTACCACTCATCTCCACTACAAATAGGAAAAAGAGGCTACACTTTGCAAGAGCTCACCAAAATTGGACAGTTGAAGACTAGAAAAATGTTGCCTGGTCTGATGAGTCTCGATTTCTGTTGAGACATTCAGATGGTAGAGTCAGAATTTGGCGTAAACAGAATGAGAACATGGATCCATCATGCCTTGTTACCACTGTGCAGGCTGGTGGTGGTGGTGTAATGGAGTGGGGGATGTTTTCTTGGCACATTTTAAGCCCCTTAGTGCCAACTGAGCATCGTTTAAATGCCACGGCCTACCTGGGCACTGTTTCTGACCATGTCCATCCCTTTATGGCCACCCTTTACCCATCCTCTGATGGCTACTTCCAGCAGGATAATGCACCATGTCACAAAGCTTGAATAATTTTTTTAATTGGTTTCTTGAACATGACAATGAGTTCGCTGTACTAAAATGGCCCCCACAGTCACAGATCTCAACCCAATAGAGCATCTTTGGGATGTGGTGGAACGGGAGCTTCGTGCCCTGGATGTGCATCCCACAAATCTCCATCAACGGCAAGATGTTATCCTATCAATATGGGCCAACATTTCTAAAGAATGCTTTCAGCACCTTGTTGAATCAATGCCACGTAGAATTAAGGCAGTTCTGAAGGCGAAAGGGGGTCAAACACAGTATCAGTGTGGTGTTCCAAATAATCCTTTAAGTGAGTGTATATCTGAGTGAAACTGCAGTTGTAACAAGAAGAAAATTAGGATGGGACTTTAATTGATTGGATAATTTGATTTTTGTGCTCTCATGTGAGTGACAGGTTATCCCAGAGACAAAGAGAAGAGATGTCGCCACAAGAGAGAGGGAAAGTTATTTAGATTAAAGAAGATTATGGGAGAACATGAATTAAAAAATATATGTAATAATTATGATGTGCAAAATCATTTCTAATGAATAATGTAATATTCCTATAACAAATAATACATTTTCAAAATTGATTTTATTGGCATAATTTCATCTTATAAAGTGATTTGTGCTTTTTTATGGTGGTGCTGGGTATTTATACATCTCCTTTAAATATTCATGATTAAACCTACAATTAGTGGAACTCCAAATATAATATTCAAGCTCCTTTACTCTAGGACAACAGAGCAGTTGTGAAGTTATCATGGCAAACAGATGTTGCATACTAATTTCGTATAAAGAGTACTGTGCTGAAAAGGTATCTAGAAGCAAAAATATATAAAGTATAAACATAATTTGCATTAATACTAGGGCATCATCAGAGTTCAGCGCCAGTTCACTGCTATTTGTGTGTTGTTGTTTTTTGTGTTTTTTTTTTTGAAACACTAGCACATTTAATATACCAACATCACAAAATAATCTTTGAGCTCAGTGTTTTCTGCAATATATAACACAATTTAAAGCAATTACAATTTTCACAGCCAAACAATCCTCCTTGCCATTAAAAATAAAAAAAATGTAGCATGTCATGGAAAAATATTCCAAAAGCTGCAGATGTATTATATTATATTTATTATAAATTCATATAATTTTTTACTTCTGGATAATTATTTCATGCAGTGTGTGTGTGTAACTCTGGCATGTATTTTATATATGGCATATATATTATTTAGAATAAATAATTTATATGGCATATATTATTTTAATCTAAATGTGTAAATGAAAAGTCTTTCTCTTCGATCACACAGAGTGTGTACACACAGTCCAGAGTGTGCAGGTGCGGTGTACATATAAGCCAAGACAAGTTTTATAGATCATCAGGGCTGTCTGGTCAGTGCAAAAGTAATTTGTGTTACATATGAATTATTTATTAAAAACGACAAATTGCTTTTTTATTACATTGTAAGCCTTCCACATTCTATTTTTTCAATGGCTTTCAAAATGTGGTGGGTACAAATTCAACTTCGAAATCACCAAAAAGTGGTCAGGATATGTCCCACTCACTAATGACGCAGATAGTATTAAATGACTAATTGTACAATTGTACATGGGGTGTAACGATACTCTTATGTTACGATTCGATACATATCACGATACTGAACTCATGATATGATATTATTGCGATACTCAAAGTCAAAGACATATGATGAAAGGTAAATCATATCTGAGATGCACTGTTGATTAAAATGCTAACTTTGATATTACATTGTGGGTTTAAATGAATAGGCTTGGACTCGGTGCTTGTAACCCAAGTACAATAGAGACACCAGAATAACAATATTCATGATTCTGAAGCTGAAAATACTGAGTTATTGTAGATGAATATGCTTGCACGCTTTCACTGACTAGATATATTTAAAATAATGTCGGCCACTTTTTACTGTTAACATCAGACATTTGGCATTATCAGGACCCGATATTCCACCATTGCATTATTATACATTATAATCAAACAGTAGTTGAATGTAGTACTGACACTAAAACTCTGAAAAAAAATTTCTCACACAGTAATTTTGGGTGAACTATCCACGATACATATTGTCACTATCCACGATACGTATTGATGCATTTTTGTATTGCGATATATTGTGGCATGATATATTGTTACACCCCTAATTGTACATTATTGTACTTATATTAAAGATGCATCATTTTGAGCATATAATCACCACAGGTTTTGCCATTGATGTTAAATGCGATTGGCTGATAAAATCTGACTGTAGAGAATCATCATTTTCTAAAAGGTTTTTTACAGAGAGTATTCTTGTTACCAAGATCAATTGGACCTTTAATTGTTTTTGTTAGATTTTTTGTATAGATATTGTCTAAATTTCAGGTCTTTATGTTGTTCACAATGCTGATACATTTGTGGTGCTGTGTATGATCTTATGATTGAGATACATTAGTTTGTTTTTTTATGAGAAATATCTTTGTCTGAACTAGATTAATGTATGCTTAGGTCAGTTCAGGGTTTAATTTTGATAAATTTGTATGTGCCATGTTTATTTCCTTTTACCAGATCAACTGTATTTATTCAACATTAAGTATACAGCACGTCTGTCCAAGTATGCATGACAAAATATGCATTCAATTTGTGGACAGAGGTTTTTTTCTGATTAACATGTATGCTGGATGAATCACAATATATACTACAATAAGGTCGATTAGTACCACTGTCCTAAAAAGATACTGGCACGATTACAGTTGGACCTAAAAGATTACATGCCATGTTAAAAAATGTATTATTTAGTCCTTCAGAACCTTCAAAGTGCAAGTAAACACACTTAATTCTCCTTTCTAAATTTCTCTGTTATTAGTTGCAGTGTAGATCATTTAGTGGCTTCTGTCGAAATGTAATATCATAAAGACTAAATACTTCAGCTTGTTGGCAGTTAGTGTGTATATCATGTTTGCATAGATTTATTGTGCTTAAAAAGCCCGGCTGGCCCGGAGTGGGCATCATTTGAATCTAATCCATTTCTTTCTCTTCAGTGCTCAGTCACACATTCCCAGATCAGATAAGATTAAGCTCAATACTCTCAGACTAGTACAGTATATCAACCATTAGAACTACAGGCACTCTATAGTCCCCTTCCTATGATGTTAAGAATTAGAGACCTGAACTGAGAGAATTGTGGTATTGGTTTCCACTACGCGTCTCGTTGTTTATTTTGAACGGTGAACATGTTAATATTTGTGGCTGTTACTGTTTTTTTTTTTTTCCTTCTTTTTTCAGTTTGCTCACAGTTTTCCAGAGGAGTATATGCCATCTTTGGCTTCTACGACAAGAAGTCGGTGAACACCATCACGTCGTTCTGCGAGACGCTGCATGTGTCCTTCATCACGCCCAGTTTTCCAGCTGACGGACTCAACCAGTTTGTTCTGCAGATGAGGCCTGATATCAAAGGCCCTCTCATCAGCCTAGTGGAGTATTACAAGTGGGAGAAGTTTGCCTATCTGTACGACAGCGACAGAGGTAAACGCATGCATTCTTTATCTTTTTTTCTCAGGCAAAGTCTTTTAGTGCTGCTTGCACACACGCATCAACACACATGCACTAGAGAATTTAATCAATAGTCCTATTACTTTGTGGTGAAACGCCTCTTGGAAAGAGAGCATGCGAGTTGGGAGTGCTTAGAGATAAGCACATCACAGTCTCTCTCTCTCCCTCTCTTTTTCATTCACTCACTCACTGATTCATACCTGTTTTCTGTCATTTATTTTTATTTATTTTCATTGCTTTTTTTTGCTGGCTTTGTCTTTTATACCTAACTAGATGTGACATGACATGTTTCTCTTGACAGACAATTTATCTGCCCAAATTTAATGTAAAACTGCTGTGCAGAATGATACAGAATAATGATATAGTCATCGCCAATCAGATAATATTGGATAATACGTGTAATGTAGTGTTATGGGAAATCTGAAAAAAAATAATAATAATAGATAACGCAAAAATAGAATCCAAGCAATTTTCATGTTTATCTTGTCACTTGTCCCTCTCTCAGCTGATTAAGACACAATGTTTGGTTGTTGTTGCATTTGCCACTGTGCAATATATTTAGTATTCACAATTAAGTAACATTGTCAATTCTCTAATTTTAATGCATTTTTTTATTTAGCTAATTTTCCTGAAGATTAGCTTATTACATTTCCTAAAGACTAGTTTCCCAAATCCTTTCTTCTCTGATGCCATTGTATCCAATGTCAAGTCAAGTCACCTTTATTTAAATAGCGCTTTTTACAACACAGATTATTTCAAAGCAGTTTTACTGTGATAATAGGAAATTAATGCAAAGAAAGATTGTTTTGGCTATACAGCAGCTCTAGAAGAAAGCCATTTTCCTGCTTAAGTCAATTGATGTAAAGGTGTTATTTTTGTTGGTGTTTACGAATGTCTACGTATGGCATTTTAAAATGTTTCAGAAATTATTTGACCAATAAATCTCCATAATTATTCCAGTTGTTACAGGAATCCAGCTGAAATCTAGCTTTTTTTTAAAAGAAAAATTATATTCACTATAAAAATGACCATGACTTTTCCAGGTCTGAAAATCACAAATTTAAAATGTTCAGATATGTTAAGGTTTCTGGATAAGTTACAAGTCAACAAAGTCAACTACAGTCTGTCTGGTTGAAATGATGGTTCTTCTGACTGATCTCTTTTAAATAATTTCTGATAAATACATACATTCTATTTAACAAGGCTAACACATATTGCATAACGTAACTCAGTCTTGGACATATTCTGTGAGCTCTTACCCACATTTTGTTGTCAGTGTCTCTGTCATTGACAAAAAATGTGGGTAAGAGCTCACAGAATATGTCCAAGACTCTGAGAGACAAATTCCGAATTTCAACTCTGAATTTCTGTCATTGCGACTATGTTTGCTGAATGTTTTCACTGTGTACTGGAGTGTCCGTTATATGCTGCATCTCTGGTTTGAGGCAGCGAAATAAATCTCTCCCCCAAGACCTAGATATGAAGTCAACCGAGAGAGAGAGATAGAGAGAGGGAGAGGGGGAGAGATGTGCAGAAAGGAGGGAAGCTTAAGAGAAGAGCAGTACGAAAGGGCAAATGACCAAAAGAGAGAATGTCGTAATAAAGAGAACGAGGAGGAGAAATGATAAATGAAGGAGAAAAGGTGTCTCAAGGGACACTCTAGTGCAATAAAAATACCTGATATCAAGGTCTTTGGGTGTGATTTGGATTGGTGGTTGATTAAAGTAGAACAGTGGTTTAAACAGAGGGTAGCCGTAATTGAGATTGAATCCCATTTAAAAAGACACAGTGAAACTAATAGACGTGGGGTTTTAACGCAATTACACTTTAGAAAGGTAATTAAAGCTTGAGCAGATTGATGACAAATTTTATGAAGACATTTGATTTGAAGCACTCACATGCTGTTCATCTCTCTATGTAGGTCTGTCAACCCTGCAGGCAGTGCTGGACACAGCAGCAGAGAGGAAATGGCAGGTAACAGCCATAAACGTTGGAAACCTGAAGGATGAGTGGAAAGACGAGGCATATCGCTCCCTCTTTCAGGACCTGGAGAACAAGAAAGAGCGGAGAGTCATCCTAGACTGTGAACAGGACAAAGTCAAGGACATTATGGAGCAGGTGAACTGCATACTAAAAACACTTTACAATATACGTGTAAGGTCAGACATGTAGTTAAAGAATGATGTATTGCGTACACCTTTAACATTCGTTATGTGACTTTTTAATTAAATTGCTCTTCTCAACGACATTTTTTTGCCTGCTTCCCCTCAGGTCATTACGATCGGTCGACATGTGAAAGGATATCATTACATCATTGCAAATTTCGTAAGTTGTCAAGCAGATACATATTTTTATTTCTGTCAGTTAAAGAAATGGTTGAAAAATGAAAATCTTGTCTTCATTCACTCACCATTTACCTCTGAAAAAGGTTCTCTCACAGTTATGTTGGTTTGTTATGTTACATTTGTTCAACGTTATCTGGTCTTTAATAATGTTCTCAAAACATTAGCACAAAAACATTGTTTATACAAATTCCGAAACGTTTAGTTGGATGTCGTCTAACATTGTCGTCTAACACGTTTGCAGGATGATAAAATGAAATGTTCCCTTAACAATTGCTTTACCACAGTTTTTTTTTTAAATATGAAGAGTTCAGATGCAAAAGCCTCTAAATGCCATTTGAAATTTTCTTCTTTAATGATGATTTTTATCAAACTTGTATATTTAAGTTCAGTAATTTGACTTAAATAACAATTAATAGGTAATTATCATTGCCATTTAAGTGAAATTACTGAACTTGAATTTATAAGCTTAATAAAAATTATCATTCTAGAAGAAAATTTCAAATGGCACTTAGAGGCTTTTGCATCTGAACTCTTCATATATATATATATATATATATATATTAAAAAACGGGACATTTTGATCTATCAGAGAACATTTAGAAATAACATTTCACTGCAAACATTAGCAAAACATTCTTAGAACATATTTTTGTTAGCTGGGTTTTTGTTCCAAATCCATATTATATTCATCAGAGTGTGTGTGTGTTTTTTGTGTGAGAGAATAAGTGAGTTAGCATTTTTGTTTGTGAAACTAACAATAGAAATAGCATGTATAACTTTAATTATGTTATTATAAGTGTGTCTGTTTTTTCCAGGGCTTTGTGGATGGAGATTTGTCCAAGATTCAGTATGGAGGAGCGAATGTATCTGGATTCCAGATAGTGGATTTTGATGACCCGCTTGTTGCTAAATTTGACCAGCGCTGGGAAGCATTGGAAGAGAAGGAGTACCCTGGAGCAGATAGCAGAATCAGGGTAAAGGAGTGCAAATATTTAAATTATGCTGCAATAAAAATGCGGCTCAAGAATTTTTGAACGTAGTCAACATCAAACCTCTATTTGTCATGAATGTTATATTATTTATCATAATGGCTCAGATATACTCACAGCGAAGTACTCGACACTCCAGTAAAGTCATGTCATGTTTATTTATATAGAGGTTTTTTACAATAGATTCTTTAGAATAAAGCAGCTTTACAGTATTAAACTTGAAAAAAACAGTTGCAGTGTCTATCAATTAGAATTCTAACTTTAATTTCTGCCATAAATAGGCTCTCCAGTTCATTCATGTTTTTACTTGCGAACGTCTGACCTCGACTGACTAAACAGAAAAAATGAACCGGGGAAGATTTCCACATCAAAGAAGGCGGAGCCTCAGAGCCCACCCACCTATTATGTAATCACCTCTGACCAATAGAGTGGTGCCTGAATGACATAAGAACCCGGAAGTCTAATTCGCCGCTGGTTCATTCGCATTTTTTTCCTATGGGGTTTTTCGAAATACGTGTAAAATAAAGACTATAGTAAACATAACTTGACGATAATTTGACGCTTTGTTCTACAGCATAAATTATACGCACCCATAGCAGAAACGTGAATTTTGAAGCTTTATGTTCATTTTTGAAAACATACTTTTTAAATAAGTAACTAGTTAAGGCAGCTTGTGTGGTGTGAGGGTGTGCAGTTTACGTTGTAGAACAAAATGTCAGGCTTTATTTTACTCATAGATTGAAAAATTGGAAAATCTCAAAGGAACCAGCGGTGAATTAGACTACCGGGTTCTCACTTCAAACCTGCACTACTCACTCTATGGTAGTTTGAAGATGTTTACCAGCTAAGGCAAACCGTAAAGTTATCTTTGGCAAGCTACAGTAGATCTCCCATACGAACTCTAAACAAACTTCGCTTTGGCTTGATTTTGTTAAAAATTACATCACACTACTTCGTTCTATGATTTCACTTGAAATATATCAGGGCCTTTAAACACCAAAAGAGACTTGTGGAATACATTTTTATGGTCTTCATATTTGTTTACCTTGCAGTACACTTCCGCTCTCACATATGATGCTGTGCAAGTAATGACAGAGGCATTCCGCTTTCTGCATAAACAAAGGATTGATATCAGTCGCCGTGGCAACAACGGAGACTGCCTGGCCAATCCTGCGGTGCCGTGGGCTCAAGGGGTGGAGATAGAGCGTGCTCTCAAACAGGTCCGCCCTTCCAAAATGTCACCAATGCCTGTTGTCTGTGTATGAGAACTTAACGCCTTTTAACATTTGTGCGTGTGTTTGCTCAGGTGCGTGTGGATGGATTAACAGGGAATATTCAATTCGATCAGTACGGCAGAAGAGTGAATTACACAGTCAATGTCATGGAGCTGAAAAACAGTGGCCCTGTGAAGGTAACACATACTGGAACTAAATCTCTGCTTTTTTCATGATCTTGATTATTTCTAGTTGGAATGGGAATTTGAAGAATTCTTACAAGAGATTCTGATTTCAATAGCAGTTAATGATACCAAATAATGATTCCTGCACTGGTGCCCTACAATAAGTTCTAATTACTGGTCTTAATAATTATGTAATTAAAAAAAAAACTTATACGAAATAAATAAATAATACAATAAAAAAAAAAAACAATACTCTTTGATAGCATATTTGGTAACACTTTACAATACGATTAGTATAACATTAATTATTAGTTAACATTAACTAATGATGAACTGCACTTCCACAGCATTTATTAATCTGTGTTAATGTTAATGTCAACATTTACTTATACATTATTAAAATCAAAAGTTTTATTAGTTAACATTTGTTAATTCACTGTGAACTAACATGAACAAACAATGAACAGCTGGATTTTTATTAACTAATGTTAACAAAGATTAATAAATACAGTAACAAATGTATTGCTCATTGTTAGTTCATGTTAGTTAATACATTAACTAATGTTAACTAATGAACCTTATTGGAAAGTGTTACCGCATATTTTAATGTTTTTTGTTTATTTGTTTGTTCAAACTACCATCTTTATCTCTATCTTTAACTACACACTACCGTTTGAAAGTTTTTGTTTTTTTTACCTAAGAAAATTATTCAGCAAGGTCACATTTAATTGATCAGAAATGACAGTAAAGATTTTAAAAGTAAAAACTTCTATTTCAGATTAATGCTGTTCTTTTTAACTTTCTATTAAACATTCATAATAATAGGAATTTTTTCTTGAGCACCAGTGTTTCTTGAGAAATGCATGAATGATTTATGAATAATCATAAGCCATTAAAGACTGGTAATAATGGATGTTGAAAATTCTGCTTTGCCTCAGAGGAATTAAAGTAATTACAATTTAAAATGTATTAAAATTAAAATTGTTTAATAATTTACAATATTACTGTTTTTTTGTATTTTTAATTAAATGAATGCAGCCTTGTGAGCATGAGACTTCTTTTAACAAAAAAAAAAAGGTTTTGCTGACTTTAAGAAAGAAAGAACAGGCTTGAACGGGTTAAGACTGATTAACCAATTTGAAAGTACTAGACTTTAAATGGTAGAAGAAAACATTGGCCTAAAAAAATAAAACATTCGGGGTGAGGGGTATGTGAAAATTTAGGAAAGATGGGAGAGATATAGAAATTATTCTTTAGCCTTTGTGATACATTATAAGAACTGGTTAATAAAAGTAATTATTAAACCAGATCACACTGATTGTGAGGATGGAGGCAAACAATATAAAAGTGTGTTGACAATGTATGGTCTTATTTAACTGCAAACAGTCTGTCTATTTCATCACATTCAAGTCAGACTTCAAGCAAACAGCCCAGTTCAAACATAATTTCTTTCTTTTTTTTGGCACTGTTGATTCAGTCGAGCCACAGCACCACCACTGAATAGCGATGTAGGAAACACTGTCAGAATATTTTAGCACAGTGTTCTGTCCACATTTGCATAAAAAATACAGCCATTAAAGTGCCACTAACAGTACCCTATATCCAAAACAAAAACAAAAGAACAGTTCTGAATAAGGTTCTTGATTCCTAACCTTAACTCTTAGCACCTGGTAAAAATTTGATTGTTTTGTATTTTCAACAAAAGCTCACTTTCTGTTTCATGAGAGTGTACTGTACTTTTTCTCAGATTGGTTACTGGAATGAGATGGACAAAATGGCAGTGACGAAATCTGACCTTTTCCCTAACGACACCATGGGAATGGAGAATAAAACTGTGGTTGTGACAACAATCCTGGTAAGAGATAATCCATGATATTCTATATCAAGAGAAATATTGAAATCACTTAAATTTTGTAAATGTGTCCATTTATTTATCTGCATGTTGTAGGAGGCACCATATGTAATGCTGAAAAAGAATGCAGAGTTATTCACTGATAATGAACGCTATGAAGGATACTGTGTGGACCTGGCTGCTGAGATTGCTAAGCATTGTGGGTTTAAGTATCAGCTAAGGATTGTAGCAGATGGAAAGTATGGCGCACGAGATGCTGAGACCAAGATCTGGAATGGCATGGTTGGGGAACTGGTGTATGGGGTGAGTAAAGCTTACACTCACTCACACGAGTGCACTATTGAGACAACAGCTCCACGAAAATGTTATTTTCATCATACACTAAAGGTCAAAATATTGTTTTGTTTTTTTGGAAAGAAGTCTCTTCTGAATTTGCTTACCAAGGGCGCATTTATTTAATCAAAAATACAGTAAAACAGTAATATTTTAAAATATTATTAGAATTACATTTGTCTATTTTTTCATATTTTAAAATGTGATTTATACCTGTGATGCAAAGCTGAATTTTCAGCATCATTACTCCAGTCTTCAGTGTTACATGACACATTAAAACATGCGTCATACCTTCAGAAATCATTTTAATTTGCTGATTTGCTGCTCAATTTGCTGCTTTTTATCATTATCACCGTCGAAAACAGTTGTGCTGCCTATTTTATGTGTAAACCGTTTTATACTGCCATTCAAAAGTTTGGGGAAAGTAATATTTAAAAAAAAAAAAAATACTTTAATAAAGACATTTATAATGTTACCAAGAATTTCTGTTTCAAATAAATAATATTCGTTAAACTTTGTATTCATCAAAAAAATTATCACAGTTTTAAGCATCATAAACTTTTTTTTAACATTGATCATAATAACAACCATTATTAATAACTGAAACACAAATTCTTCTGATGTCTCAAGGTCACTGTGATACCTTGAAAATCAGCTTTGCCATCACAGGAATAAATTAAATTTCAAAACATTTTCAAAAACAGTTATATAATATTATTTCACGATATTACTGCTTTTACTGTATTTTTTATCAAATGGTGAGTCTTCTTTCAAAACAAAATCTTAAAATCCCCCTATAGTCAATCATTTTATCCCTTAAAACTCATCTTTGATCACCAAAATTATACTTTTTTTTCCTTAAATTTTCTTTCATCCCTTAAAGTAGTTTGAATGTAACTCTACACCCTTGCATTATTTAGTATACATGGTTCTATGAATATACAAATTAGCCCCGCCTCCACTCACTCACACCAGCTCAGTGGTCCACTCATTGAAGTGATTGGCAATTGGTAGTTTGTGACGTCAGAAACACCAGTGACTTCAAACTGCGCTTTTTAGACTGACTTTGGTTCACATAAAGAGTTTGGTTTGTCTTAAAGCATATTAAAAACACCACATAGATGTATAAACAACACTAAAACCTTGATTTTCACCACAGGGGAATTAATTATTCAAAAAATTTTGACCGTTAGTGTACATCTCTTATATGTGTGTCTCTCATTTACCCAATTCCTCTTCTCTTTACTGTTGACAGAAAGCAGACATAGCTGTAGCTCCTCTCACCATCACTTTGGTCAGAGAGGAGGTGATCGACTTCTCGAAACCTTTCATGAGTCTTGGCATATCCATTATGATCAAGAAACCACAGAAATCCAAGCCTGGAGTCTTCTCTTTCCTGGACCCGTTGGCCTACGAGATCTGGATGTGCATTGTTTTCGCCTACATTGGAGTCAGTGTTGTACTCTTCCTTGTTAGCCGCTTCAGCCCTTACGAGTGGCACACAGAAGAGTTTGAGGATGGGCAGCTGGGCCCTAGCGAATCTACCAACGAATTTGGCATCTTTAATAGTCTATGGTTTTCTCTGGGCGCTTTTATGCAGCAGGGATGCGATATTTCGCCAAGGTTGGTGCGTGCAGTGAGCGCTAATGCTAGCCGGCTAGCGCAAGGGGTGTGCTTTCGTCTTTGTGCACCAACAGTTTTCCCACCATTGCCGTGGTTTGTGTATGTTCACACTCCTGCAGTTCTTGCTTTGTATCCATTTCCATTGGAAACTATCTAGATGTTATTTAACTTGTAAAATATCTTATTATTATTATATGTAAGTTATAGTAACTTCAGTGTTACATGGGTGAGAAGAAAGAGCTAACACAGGATTAGAAATGTTTGATCGAAGTTGTCGTTTAAAATTTGGTTGAACATTTCTTCTGTGAACATATACTCATCCGGCTGGGAACAGTAAAGTGCACAAGGTCGCCGTTTCCTGCCCTCTTGGAGTGGTACCGTGTTTCGGCTGCATATTCCCCATTTTCTTCAAAGTAAAGGGGTTTCTTTCTTTCTTTCTTTCTTATCTTCCTACTCTCTACTTTCTTTCTTTTGAAATATTACAGTAACACCATGCTGGTTCTGTTGGTAGAGCATGTGAGTGTTTGTGTGTGGCTGACTGTGTTTGCTGTGTGTAGGTCCTTGTCTGGCCGTATAGTTGGTGGTGTGTGGTGGTTTTTCACCCTCATCATCATCTCCTCCTACACGGCTAACCTGGCTGCCTTTCTTACTGTGGAGAGGATGGTGTCACCTATCGAGAGTGCCGAAGACCTGGCCAAACAGACCGAGATTGCCTATGGGACATTGGATGCAGGATCTACCAAAGAATTCTTTAGGGTGAGTGGACCAAGGTTGACTTTACTTAATTTAGGGCTGCAAACAGCCTAACTTGCCATGGCTAATGTCATGGGGTGTAACCATCAAGTAAAAAAATACTAACACATTTTCCGTAGACTTTAAATACACATGAGTGTACAAATAATCATTTTCAAGAACATTTTTAAATGCTTTTAAAGCGTTTTTGTGGGTTTGAACTAACCTTTTTATGTCGTGAAAAGATCAAATTATCGGACATTTTGAGACTTATAGCTTGACACAGACACACAAGGGTCAAGAGGGTCTTCAGGGGTTCTGAATGTTTCTGCATTCTGCACAACATGACTTTGGTTTGACAGACAAATGGTTTTCAATTATCTCAAATATCTTAGAAAACTGCTTATTTTTTTCCCTAAGTGATAATAATAAAAGATTTTGCCAATGTACTAAATAAGTTTTTTTATATATATATAAAATATTTTTTATAAAATATTTTTTATATATAAAATAAGGGTTTTTAATATATTTTTTATTACATTGAATTGGTTTTATATTTGTTATAACTTTTGACTTTATTGCCCTTAAAAATATAAAAATACATTTTACTTTAGATATTAAATACACAAATTCATTGTATGTAATGCATACAAGTACTGAATTGCATTTGAATTTTTTTTAATAAAGTACTAGATGAAGGCAAAAAAATGATCACTGATTTACCTATTTTTGATATTCGGATCTAGATTGAAAAGGTTGACATTGCCCTCATTTATTTACTATCTTGAATCTAAACATTTCTTTTTCTTTGTCTCTATTTTTTTGTCTCTGTCTTTACTTTAACCAGAGATCCAAGATTGCTCTCTTTGACAAGATGTGGCAGTACATGAAGAGCGCAGAACCTTCGGTGTTTGTTAAAAACACAGTAGAAGGCGTTTTGCGTGTCCGGAAATCCAAAGGCAAATATGCCTACCTTCTGGAGTCCACTATGAATGAATACATCGAACAGCGCAAGCCCTGTGACACCATGAAGGTCGGAGGGAACCTTGACTCTAAAGGCTACGGCATCGCTACACCCAAGGGATCTGCTTTAAGGTGGGTGGAGTAGTATAACAATATGGCCCATGTTGTTATAGTATCCCACCTACCCTGATGTAGGCCGGGGGTCCCCTTTTAAAATGAGGTAAACTAGGTAATAGCAGCTCTGAGTGTAGGGACGAGTGGTAACCTAGGCATAAACATCAGTGGAGAGAGTTACCAAGGAAACTGAAGAGATAGTGAGGGCTTTAGAAAGTCTAGCTGACAGGAGACAAGCAGGTTACCTAGCAACCGGTGCTCTCGAGAAGGATGGCATGGAAAATGGAGTATAATGTAGTGTTGAACATATCTTACCATAAGCTTAAAAACAAGTTTTAAGATTTTAATAGGAAGCAAGTGAGCAGCATAGTAAAATTGCACAATGAATTGAGATTATATAAAAAATTATTAGGGCTGTCAGATAATTAAAATATAATTTTATATAATATATTTTAAAATTAATTTAATAAATGTTGGTACACGTTAACGCATTCAATTCCTTTTTTGAGAAAAGAAAATATATAAGTGTAATTATTTCATGTAGCCTACTTAATGGACTTAATCTTACATATTGATATTTAATACTTATTGAGCTTGATAACTAACAGTGCTGTAAGCAATTATTTCTTGAAATTCAACTCATAAGATGTTCTTACTGAAAATTAAAACTACTGAAATCCATTGCCGCGTATTTCAAAACCGACATCCGATTAAAGAAAAATGCTTTAATATTAGAAGAAAAAAAAATTGACTACACCTGGATTGGTTGATCTCTACAATTGAGTCAGGGGAGTGGTGATTAAGCTGAAACACTCTGCCTGTCAATCATTTCAGGTTCAGGTTTGCTGTTATATGAAATTGCGTTAACGGCGTTAAACATTTAATTGCTTTTTGACAGCCCTAAACATAATAGATTAGCTCATGTGATTCTTTTCCAGGAATTACCAGGTCTACTCGTGGAGCTCACAGTAGATAAATAAAGAGAAGGTTTCATATGTGCCCCCCCCCCCTTCCTCCAATAGTCTACAATTTCTGAAGCCTTTTTTTGTCCTGTTTTGCTGATAATCGACTGCCATGTGTTCAATGAAACAAACATTGGCAAACGGTTGAACTATTTATAGTCATTAACTATATTGCTAATAGCTTTCTACCCCCTCTAAACCAAAGCATAGTGTAGTAGTGAAAAACCGGGCGCAAGATTTACACTAAGTACCAAAGAGCTACTATGCTATTTTGAGTTCAGTGTAACCCCTTCTACTCATGTTTGCCATTAGCATCTGTTTTATTGAATGCATGTCTGTTCTTAATGACTGAAGCAATGGCCTCTTGCAACCAGACTGTTTTGTTATGACAAAAGCTGTTATTGATAAGCAGTAATAATCAATGCATGCATTTGAATGGTCGCCATAAGCATTACAGAATGTTTAAGCTGATGATTCAGAGGCTGAAAACAGTAACTTGATTATGAATGCATTTGATGATGCACTGTTTGAACTATGCATGCTGTCTTTCTTGATACATCTAACCTGATTTGTTTGCCTCAACGCTTAAATTGTTTTCGGCTAACTGATTTGAGGATATGTATGTGCGGTTGTGTAATAACTGATACTATTGCTGATCCTCCTCTGTTCTAGCCTCCTGCCACAAGAGTTTGAGTTTAAAAAGAACTCTTAAAGCTCGACCACCTTACATTTTAATGGGTTGTTTAACATGATTTTGATTGGTTGGTTGATTTGATTGATTGATGGATTGTCTAACCCAATGTTCCATTCATTCTATGCAACTTGTGGGGGGCGTGGCCCGCTGCAGCCCCGCCCCCCCTCATGCTGTCTGACAAGTATGTTTTATCGTTTGTTTAAGAAACGCGGTAAACCTTGCAGTGCTAAAACTGAACGAGCAGGGGCTTCTGGATAAATTGAAAAACAAATGGTGGTACGACAAAGGAGAGTGCGGCAGCGGAGGCGGGGAGTCAAAGGTCAGACCCGTGCTTGGGACATATGGGTAAAAAAATGAAATGAACAAAATGCAAATGAGCAAGAAGCACAACCAGTGGTCCCAGGAAACAAGCCGAGGCACCTACTGACTTGATTATCAACTAGCCAACGAGAGCTTTCAGTAAGACACATCTACACTAAAATAAAATCTAAACTACCTAAAAAAAAAAACACATTCCTAGTGGCTTGTTCACGGGCGCTGTTTCTGCATCCTGCTCAAGGCGATGAGTCTGTGCACATCTGGCACGGCAAAGCCGCGTTTGCCGACTGCCAAATGGAGCGCAGACTGCCGATCGCCACCACGCTCAGGGCTGAATCATTACCAGCGCTGTTAGCGAGTGCAAATGTTACTGACAATAACATAAAATAACATTGATAATGTTATTTATGTTATTTCCCATACGCGAAGAACGCCAGTAAACCTTGCAGTATTGAAACTCAGTGAGCAAGGCATCTTAGACAAGCTGAAAAACAAATGGTGGTACGATAAGGGAGAATGTGGAGCCAAGGACTCTGGAAGTAAGGTCAGTCACTGCAGGGAGCGTGTGTGTGTGTGTGCGTGTGTGTGCATGAAAACTTGTGAAAACACTGTCTCAGTTTGGGTGATCCAAATCCAAGCATCAACATACTGAGTCTGTTGGAAAAGAGTATGAGAGCGATACGAAATGAAACTTGTACAAAAAAGAATTATAGCCTATGGTAATGTGTGCGTGCGTGTGCGTGTGTGTGTGTGTGCGCGTGTGTGTGTGTCAAAGCAAGTCCCTTACACAGATTTACCACCGCATGAATCAGAGCCTGACCTATGTATACAATCAATGATGCCTATACAAGCAGGGTGATAAACACACAGTAATGCATGCAAGAGACACATAGCAAAGTCATATTTTATATGCACTATTGTGCGTACTTGATCCACATTCCCCTCACACACAAACTCATACCTGTATAGGCTCAGTATTTCCTTGTGCTCCTTTGTATTTCTATGTGCTTTATTGACAACTTGTCCTGTTACTTTTTATTTTTTGTTTCTTACACTCTTTCTTTCTCCCTCCTATCTCTCTTTCTCTTTCCCATGCGGTCTCTCCTTCTCCCTCACCAATGCTGTAAATGTTGTTTGTATATTTGCCTTTTACTTCAGCTGTCTTTAATTGTAATTCTGTAGGTGGCGTCTTTTTTCCTTCTTTATGTGCACACACTGCACCGCACTGTCCTGTTGTACTTTTGTAGCCGTCTGTGTATTCTATGTGATTTACTGTTAGACACTCATACACATTTAATACTGTACTGTTTTTGTAGTCTATTTAGAGCAGTTAATTTTAAATTTATAATGTCATAAAATTAAAAGTCATTAAATATACAGTGATAATCAGTAGTTTTGACATACTGTCTTCCTTTCTCTCCCTTATTTTTGACCTTTGTCCTTTACCCCTTGCAGGAGAAGACAAGCGCCCTCAGCCTGAGTAATGTTGCGGGCGTCTTCTACATCCTGGTGGGCGGCCTCGGGTTGGCCATGCTGGTCGCTTTGGTGGAGTTCTGCTACAAGTCTCGCGCGGAGGCCAAACGCATGAAGGTTGCCAAGACTCAGGCTCTAAATCCCTCCTCTTCCTCGCAGAATTCTCAGAATTTTGCTACTTATAAGGAAGGGTACAACGTTTATGGGCTGGAGAGTGTTAAGATCTAGTGGGGTAGGAATGGCAGAGGTTATATTTTTGTCGTTTGTTCACTTTTTTTTTTGTCATTTTTTTATCGTATGCCAAGCGCTTCATCGCCACTACACAAATCTCTAGGCATCACGCTGGTACGCATTTGTCAAAGATTTAAAGGGGTCATATCATAGTTTTCACATCCTAATTTCTTTGTTTTTCCCTGAGGTCCACTGGAAAGATTTAATTTTAGGCAGTAATTTAGTGGTACGCAAGTTTTCCTGTTTGCTTTGAGCCTTAAGACGCCTTTTCACTGCACATGACAAACGACAGCCGATGGACCGGAAGTCATTCATTTGCTATGGGGAGTCGCACAGGGGCTGCGTGGGGTGCCGACCATCTGCGATTTTTGAGATCCAATTTAAGCTTTGGAATGCGTCAAAAAATGTGAACTTAACCAAACTACACCTTATGCGACATGGCATCCAGATGTGATGTATCACTCTTTCCCAACACTGGGATCCTTTGGAAGTATCTTCAGTTAACTGGCATAATAGAATCTTCCTCCTGTTTATTACTTTAGTTTCAAAACACAGCACAGACATCACTGAAGTGTAAACATGGGCAGTCATGTCTTAATTTCTACATTTAGTTTACATCAGAAATACTCTTTTGGAAAAGATTTTTGCATTTTATTTGCAGTGGATCGTCTTGTTGGACTAAGGAGGGAGTTTTCTGTTTTGAAACATCACATTGTATATCAAACTAAATTTTGAACTACAAAAAGTTTTTTTATTATTATTATTTATTTATTTTGCTTATCGAGGCAGTTATTACTTACAAAAAATACATAAAAAAGAGTAATATTGTGAAATATTGTTCAATTTTTTTAAACAAAAATTTCATATTAATATATTTTAAAATGTAATTTATTCCTGTGATGGCAAACCGGCAGCCATTACTTCGGTGACACATGATTCTTCATAAATTACTTGAATATGCTAATTTGGTGCGAAAGAAACATTTCTTCTTATTATCAATGTTGAAAACAGTTTTGCTGCTTGTTTTTACTGTCACTTTTGATCAGTTTAATGCAGCCTTTCTGAATAAAAGTATTGATTTCTTTAAAACAAACAAAAAAAATCTTACTGACACCAAACTATTAAACAATAGTGTAAATCAAAAGTTATATTTTTCATGATATGACCTCTTTAAAAAAACGTACTCGGTTACTAACGTAACCTCTATTCTCTCTAGAAGAGGGAACAAGTACTGTGTAATATCTTAAGCTAGGGGAAATCCTCTTTCCATGAGATATTGAAGCAAAAAATTATCCTTAATTTTTAATTAATGTAAAACGCGTTGTGGCAGCATGCAGACATTAATTGCTGTCCTGCAGCAACCGCAGCAGCCTATCGAGAGAGGCCCTTCGTGACGTCAGATCCAATGGGGGCGCTTCACGCCCACTACATCACGTCCTGCCGAGACGGGCGTGGCCTGGGCCTGTAAATACAGCTCGATGGGCTGATATAATCTGTTTTTTCGTTGCCGAAGCGAACCAGAGCGCATTGCAGGCATGGCAAAGATAAGCAATACTCGTTCCCTCTTCTAGAGAGAACCAAGGTTACGATTATGGTTACTGAGGTTATTAACCCAGTACGTTCTCTTACGAGAGGGGAACACAGTGTAGAGAGGGGAAGAGAGGCTCATTCCAAATGAAAAGGAGAAGCGTCATTCCAAATATGTAGCATCCTAAGGGAGCTAATCACATCAACAGTGTTCCACACAGTCAGGGTGAAAATGTTCGGCCTGTACTGTTTAACAGTATGTGTCTTAGTCATTGCCCATGGAGTTATTTTATTGATCAGTGAGCAGTGCTCAAGTGGTTTCAGTATTCTGAGCCGAAGCAACGGGGTAGTCAGTACTGATCTTTAGACCGAAAGTAGTTTAGCCTGTAAGGCGGGAACCTCTAGGTTATAAAACCTTATAAATGTAGACGGGGAGGCCCAACTTGCCGCCATACAGATATCCTGCAAGGTAATCCCGCTAGACCAAGCCCACGACGAGGCCATGCCTCTTGTGGAGTGTGCTCTGACATCCGAAGGGCACTGCAAGCCTTTAGAAGTGTAGGCCAACACTATGGCATCAACTATCCATCTGGATAGGCTCTGTTTCAATGCGGCTAGTCCCTTAGCACGTGTTGCTCAGTCTGTCTGAAACAGGACGTCTGAGATACAGGCTCTTAATGCCCTGACTGGGCAAAGGAAGCACGCGTCATTTTCCTCGTTGTAAACCGGCAGGGCAGACAGATAAATATCCTGAGCCTTGAACGGTGTGTTGAGGGATTTAGGCACGTACCCGTGTCTTGGTTTGAGTATGGCTTTCGAATCATTTGGCCCAAATTCCATACATGTCACGCTTACTGAGAGCACTTGTAAATCCCCTATGCGCTTCACTGAAGCAAGAGCCATAAGAAACACTGTCTTGAACAACAAATGTTTCATGTCTGATAAGTGGATTGGCTCGAACTTGGATTGGGTCACCTTTCATGGCTTCCAAAACCGTAGAAAGGTCCCACATGGGGTGTGGGAGGATTCAGCCTCTTAGCTCCCTTAAAGAAGCGGATGACCAGATCATTCTTCCCCAGTGACTGGCTAGTCGCTGGTGAAGTAAATGCTGCTATGGCCACCTCATAAACCTTGAGTGTGGATGGGTTTCTGCCCTTATCCAGTAGTTCTTGAAGGAAGGAAAGAATTTCCTTAACCCCACTGTCTAGGGGTGAAAAGCCTTGAGCTTTGCACCAGCCAGTAAATTTTGAGGGATAGAGTCATCTAGTAGATGGGCCTCTAGCCTGCATGATCTTGTTTAACATTCCCTCCGGGAGGTTAGCAGGTACCCGTTGATGGCCCATGCATGTAGGGACCACAGCTCCGGGCGAGGATGCCAAATCGAGCCCCTGGCCTGAGAGAGGAGGTCTTTCCTCATTGGTATTGGCCATGGGGCAGTGCTTGTCAGCTGCATCAGAACTGGGAACCAAGCCTGGTTTTTCCAGAGCGGAGCCACAAGTAGCACTGAGCATCCGTTTTCCCTGATTCGTTCCAATACCTGAGGAAGGAGCAAGACTGGGGAAAGGCATGGACTGGGCAGTGGAGTCAGGTGTGGGCCAGTGGATCCCTGCTCTTGGAGAAAACCTTTGGACATTGAGCGTTTTCTTGGGACGCAAACAGAGGTCTATCTGTGCACTGCCGAATGTCTCCCACAGCAGTAACGTCTGCACCGTCTGCGGGTGCAGAGACCATTGTCCTGCTGGAACATTGTTTCTGGACAGTCTGTCTGGTTCCACATTCAGGTGACCAGGCACATGGGCTGCTCTCAATGAGCGCAGATTGTGCTGAGCCCAGACCAGGAGGTGTTCCGTCGTGTTCTGTATCTGGGGAAAAAAACGCCCTAGCGAGTTGTCGACTGCCATCATTTCCAGACAGTTTATGTGTAGAAGCTTCTCCCGTTCTGACCATTGGCCAAAGAACGGTCTGCCCTTGAGTAAGCGCTCCCCATCCCAAAGGTGGAGGTGTCCTTGGACACCACCTTCACACTTGAAGAAGTCCCCAGGTTTACACCTGACTGATACCAGTCGATTGCTCTCCAAGGTTTCAGAGCTGTGACGCATTTCTGATCAACTTTGAGGCGAAACAGACCGGAGGCCCATGCCCGAGGTGGTACTTGCACTTTTAGCCATAACTCCAGCGGGCGCATGCGAAGCAGACCCCACTAGAGTACTGATGAGGCCATGAGACGGGACTATAGTGCCGCACCGGAAGGATTTCTCTGGCGGCCTGCAGAGCGAGAGCATGGTCTCTGGTCCCAGGCTTGACGGCGCTGTGAAGCCGATGCGTGAGCTTCGCTGAAGAGATGAAAAATCCGATTATATCAGCCCATCAAGCTGCATTTATAGGCCTAGGCCATACCCATGTAGGGCGCAAAGCACCCCGTTGGATCTGACGTCACGAAGGGCCTCTATCGATAGGACAGCCAATAGGCACGCAAGCCGTCTTGCCTATGTCTGCCTGCTGCCGCAACGCGTTTTACATTAATTCAAAATTAAGGATAATTTTTGGCTTCAATATCTCGTGGAAAAGAGGTTTTCCTCTAGCGTAAGATATTACGCAGTATGAGAGAACCTCTAGTAAGAGAACAGTATCACACAAGCAATTGACCCTTCGCAAAGACCCGCCCCCCTTAGTTGCTGTCTCTTTGTCCGACAAGCTACGCCGCTCTCACATACTTTTCGGTTACTTTTGATATTAAACATATTAAACGAAGTCTCACCTTTCAAATTTCGTAATTTTTTTAAAGAAATTTAAACAATAAATGCCGTTTTGTGGCTCTTCAATGTGTCGTGACAGATCGCTGTAGAGCATCAGTTTAAGCTGCTCATGATCCGATCATCTCTTCCTACTAGTTCATTTATAGCATCAAATAAACATGAATGAACATAAGAATGATGTTGTTTTAACCACGGAAAGGCGTCAGTACACTCCGTTTTTCAAGTTCAAAGCCTCCCATGTTAATCTTCTAACTCTCAAGACTGCTTTGTCGGACAAAATGGCTGATGGCGAAGTGTGATTGGTCAGATTACCTGTCAATCAAGCTCCATGCGAAGGGTCAATTGTTTGACAGTACAGTTTTGATATGGTGCCTAAAAGCACATTACGTGATTAAGATTGAAGATTAAAGAAACATTGTAAACGTGAACAAGGGATAAACAGAGGGAGGGTAAAATGGATTGAAGGAATCAAAATATGGAGGGTTCATAGATGGGGAAAAAAATTATATATATGTAAAATATATATATAATATATTAGCTCATTTCGTTCAGCAGGAGTGACATCATTTTGTTTATCCGACATCCGTTTGTTTATCATCATTGACGCTTGTGATTGTTTGTGAATCGGCTGCGCCGCTTGCTTTTGATATAAAGCTCCGCCATCTTAGTGCGAGACCCATTAGCTGTCAGTCATTCTCCACCCCATCTGCTCCTCATAAACATCTACTGTTTATAAAATATATATAAAGTAAAAATCTGTATTTCATATAAGATGCACTGTATAACGTTAATGAATGTTTATTTGTTTTCTTTTTCTCTCATGTGTGTGCACTTGGGTGTGAATCTGTGTATTTATATATTCTGTTTGTGTGGGTGTGTGTTTGGTAACAGATGACGTTCACAGATGCTATGCGCAGTAAGGCCAGGTTGTCTATAACAGGCAGTACAGGGGAGAATGGGCGAGTGCTGACTCCAGACTTCTCTAAAGCCGTCCATGCTGTGCCGTACCTGAGACCTGGCATGGCAATGCCTCTGAGTGTGAGCGAGATGTCCTGAGTGCCTTACATACTCACACACACACTGGTGCAAGCATGCTGTACCCCCACTTTCATACAAATCAAACACACGTGTAGATATTCTTACACACATAGACACTATATATATATATATATATGAAAATAATTAATTATTTCATATATAATGAATCACACACATGATGTCAGATCCATACATGCATAGTAACACTTTAACACATGTTTACTGTTCAGTGCAGTCATATTTTTACCAATGGTCATGTGTACAACTAACATTTGCAAAAACATGCTGACAAGACAAATAAAAAAGGTATACAGGCACATTGCTGTGTGTACATATGCAGACAAACCTTCTGTAGTCACACTTCTGTAAAGTTTCTTGTTGTGTACATTTTACATACAGTAACTGCAAGTTCTCGTTTTGTCACACACGTGCACATAAAATATGACCTCATTTTGCTCATGCATTCACTCACACAAACACACTTGCCCCATTGCTTCATTTTTCATGTACGTTTTTCACATTGTAAGTGATAACATTGCAATTCTGAACTAAGGAACGTTACACATTGAAAATAATTCCTCTGGGAAAAGCTCGACACCTGTTTCCATAGCAACATGTTTTTGGAATCTCTGATTTTTAAGACCTCAAGCACACGAAACATCTCCATCAAATGTGATTTTGTTTACTCAATCTACATGATATATTAAAAATGTTTGAAGAATCATTTCTTATTATATGAGATATGTATAATAAATTATGTATATAAGTACACTTTTGTTTATTAGATGTTAATGTTACCATGCAAATGCTTGACTTAAAGAAAAAACAAAATGATTTGAGTAGTTTTGTTTCTCCTCCTCACTGGTTTGATTTCTTGTGATGTTCATTTTTTGGATCACTGTGTTCGGATCCGTTTTTCTTGCCTATGGACGATGCAAGCAGTAGTTTTATAATTGTCTTTTAATTAAAAAAAAAGAAGAAGAAAAACTAAATAATATTTTACCTTCTGCATTTCACAATTTAGATGATATATTGAAATTGTTACATTAAGATGGATCTGCATATGAATATATGAAATATGAAACTTCATAATATATTACGATATCCCAAAATGCCAAATATTGCAGTGTGCCAAAATATGTCACGGCGTTTCAGATGCATTTATTAATATTGTCTCTTTATGGGGAAATGTAAAGACTGAAAATTAGCACCCTTTACTCAAGGGTTTGTTATTTATGTCACTGGCTTTTTTTGTTTTGTTTTGTTTTTCAAATGCGTTGTATTTTATTAAGGTGCACTACGATATGCAGTTTTAACTGTGAAAAGCATGACAACCTTAAGTTATGTTTGTTTTTATAAAAACAATGATTAAGTAGATCACTGATATTAGTTAAATAGGTATTTCATTTTCGTAGTCCAGTTATGACCTGAAGACTAAGAGATTGGAGAGTATTACAGATAGTTATATTGATAATTATATTGATAAAGTATAAGCCAATCACCCTTTTCTATGCCATGCTGTGTGGAACTGAAATCTTGTTCATTAGTTTTATATGTATATGTACTGTACATGTAAATAGAAACCATACATGTGCATAACTTAAAATCTTGGATGATACACAAATTCACACAGACGCACACAAAGAGGATTGCTCATATTGTGCATCTTGGGAGTACGCTTGGGAACCTATGAGCGTAGTACCAAGCTCTCTCATACAGTCGCACAAATGGACTCATCATCACTAGCATCATTTCAGTTGGAAAGTCTGTCATAGGATGAAAAGGAGGACATTTTTCTAAATGGAATGTGGACTGATTGCTTTATTTTTTGGAATCTTTTGGAATAAACAGAGACTGAGAATCCTCTGATATTCTGTTTTACTCTGTTTCATGGAGATGACAAGCATGTTGGCTGTTCACACATAATTTCACATCCTGGGTCCAAAATTAACACAGAAGATGAAAACATTTTAGGAATGTTTTTTTTTCTCTCTCTCTCTTTTTACAGAACATGTGGTAACATTTAAAATATCCCTATAAACATTAAGCTATGCGCAAAAAATACTGTATGTCATCGTGATTTTGTGACAGGTGCAGCTTCACAGAATGGCAGTGCCTGCTGCAACTCAGTAATTAGGAATATTTAAAATAAATATTCATGGCTTTTAAAGAAAATTACTGTTATTCTCAATTCACATAACATTGGCAGATGTGGAAAAAAATACATTTGGACCCTGTTCAGATCATAATATTTGTGTAGACTGAATATGCAAATTATAGTTGTATTTTGTTCACTGTTTTCTCTGCTTTTTCCCATTGGCGAGTTGTTGTGCACTGAGAGAGCTCTGATCCAATGAAAAGGGTTTGTTGATTTGTTCAAGCTAATGTGCTTTGAGCAGCTCAGTTACACAGGAACAGATGTGGCCTTGTTCAGTGTGTACTGGGGACACATTAGTGTTGGGCTTCCATGTACTCATAAACAAGCTACAGTATTTGAATATTGATTCTTGTTTCTGATAACCTGACTATCCTTTGAGGGGAGGAAAATTGCCAAAATGTGTATGTGTGCATTCTTATTGATTTTTTAGTGAAAGACCAGTGGCTACTACCTGATGCCATGTTATTGTTCTGGCACACACACACATTCTCTTTTAAGGCAAGGCTCCCAGGCAAACAGACTGGGCCAGCATCTGCGGCTCGGCAGTTGAGTTTCCTCTTGCTGTGTCTAGTTCCATATTACCTTCCTCAGCCAATAAGAAATCAGTATTTTTCTGTTGCCAAACAGTGTTTTGTCTGTTGCAGCCAATTAACGTTTAGCATCAAATCAATTTAGGTATCAGTTTTAGTACATTTAGGTATCAATTTGTAATCATGGTTGCGTGCATGATTGTACATTTTAACATGTATTCATAGCACTCAATGCATCTAAGCACACTGTTTTTATTTGTTATTATGCATATTGTATGCAATAGGGGTACCCCTGAGTTCAGTGCTGGGCCCAGTCCTCTTCTCAATATCAACATAGCTGGGACCTCTAAAAAATGCTGGGTTGGTTTAACCCAATTTTGGGTATGGAAAAACCCAAATGTGTGGTTAAAAATGTAACATCCAGGCACATCTTACATCCAGGCACATTGGTTTTCATACCTTTGCTCTGCTGCACTGATACACAGCTCTGTTCTCATTCCAGCCTGACAATTCCACAGGGGCTGCAACAATCTTGAATGAATGAACATGACCTCCAGCTCAGCTTAGCCAAGACAGAGCTCCCCATCTTCTCAGCAAGCTAGGTAATACATCACAGTTTAGCTATCCTCATCAACAATAACACTATCCAGGATTATGGACCAGGCCATGCCTTGGGGCCTCAGACTATCAAAGTCTTGAAGTCCTAGTCTTCCAAAGGATCTGAAAACTAGAGCCTCTGGGCAGCTCTGCACATATGGCAAAGAGATGGGGCCCCAGATTCTTTAACACCATTAGGTGCCCTGGTCCCGTCAACATATGCACAGTAGAGTCCCTGAAATTAGACTATATTTAGCACAATGTTAGCTACCAAAACATATGGTTGCTCCAGCCATTATCGTTGTGGTTCAGTGCATATGCTTAAAGGGGTCATTGAAAGCCCATTTTCCACAAGTTGGTATGATTCTTTAGGGTCTTTGTGTAAAGTTTGTAACATACCTTGGTTAAAATTCCTAAATGATTGTGCAAATTCTTATTAGTGCATCCTCGTTTCCTTTCCTCGGTTCCTCCCCCGATAGCTCACAAGGGAAGGCTGCCAGGAAAGAAAAGGAGGACGGAGGAAGCTTTTTTACACATGGGAATACTCGATCACTCGAGCGTCACTTCACGAGGTCATCAGCAGCGCTCCAAGGATCTGCCTTTATGTTGTTGAAGTTTGGTTATTTAAGAAATTCATACTAAATAATAATAAAGCAAGATACCCTGTTGAAATATGTGTGATGTGTGGTTTATAAACTGCAAAGGTATAGTATAAATTAAAATTACTGTGACCAATGTGAAGGGGAAATTGATACGTGCGTAACGTTTAGTAGATAAAAATACTTCCGCATAGGATACACCTGTGTATCCTCGCTTAAGACTCCTCTGGAAGCCTCCTCACTTCTCGATCCTCAACTCCTCGTGGTGCAATTAGAGAAGTGAGATGTCTTTTGAAGGGGGTATATAATGCCATTTTCGTACAAGTTAATTTAATTCTTTAGGGTCTAAATGAAAAGTTTGTAATATTATTTAATTAAAAATTCTCATTAGTATTGTAAGAAAAGACCTAGTCAAAAACAGCTCCATTTTCAACACGCCATTTAGTGCATATAGTGATAATGAGATTTGCTCACTCCGCCCCTCTATTCTGCGGATGTTTTGCACAACCTATGTGGAGTGTTGCCTTGACAACAGTTGAGGGTATATTTTGGAGAATGAACGGCAGCGGGAGTCTCTGAGGACACATCTGTGCAACCATATCAGTTTGAACCGGTGTCAGACCCGATGACAAGATGACAGCCGCAAAGAAGTTCAACAATTAAGGCTTGAACAGTATGTTTCTGGTTAACATAATGTCATTTTGATCAATCTTTGTGTACTGGCAGGGTAGAGTATTGAGATACGAACACTATGTGTTTACTTACTAATGTAAACATACTCAGTTTGTAATAACACACTATAACCATAACGCGTTGTTCATTATAAATGTGGGATTATGAATTATATTGAGAACGTCGTATAGAAAACATGCCGTAATGTACCCTGAGTGTAAACCTTAGCTACATTCATCGTGAAGCATGCAAGCGATTTGCAAAGTTTAATATAAAATGTACAATTTTACACTCACTTCTTCTGGAGGTGCAGCTGTTCATTATTAAACCCAAGAACAGAACACCGCAATCAATCACTTAGACGCCATTCTACTCCAGCGTATCAACAATGGCGGACTATGATGACAGCTCACTAGGGCGGGTCTGTGTTGAAACGCTTCTGTCAATCGACAATTGGGGGGGCATCCGTTTTATTGACGTCACAAAAACGAACGGCTCAATTTAAGGCAGGGGAAAACATATAAGGAGATTAAAACAAAAACACTGGATGGATTTTTAGCATTATATGATGGTTGTGTACAGGAACTGCCAACACACATTTCAGTACAATAAACTTGAAAAAATGCATATACCATTATATGACCCCTTTAAGATATGCGCTCGATCAGTTTCGGGGTCATAGGATGGAGGACGGAGAAGCGAGGAGGGATATTGAGAAGCACCCACATAAAGTGCTGTCTTGGCAGACACAAATGGCTGAGGCGAAAATATGCTAATAAGGGACAGTTCTCATCGGTCGTGGGTGGAACATGAGCAATTTGACATCATATTGCTATGAAAATCCAAACGACTTGATTATTGAGAGTGTTTAGCCTTTTTGAGGATTAAAAAGAAAGGAGTGAATGGATTTTTTTTTCATTGTATGGTGGTTGTATCAACACACTGCAAAGATTTATATGCAAACACCATATAAAAGTGAAATTTGCATCTGATGACCCCTTTAAATTTAGTTCGGAATACATGTTACACACACGTGAATTGAATACCAAAGTTAATGGTTAAACAGAACTTTCAGAATCTGAAAGAGAATTCATTCAGATTTACGAAAATTAGTGCATGTAAACATTCCTTCTGTCTCACTGCCACCAGTTACTCAATGCATAAAGGTTCAAGGCACTGAACCTACATATAATAGTCACTGGATGTGCAGTGCACCCAAAGTAAAATCTATGTTCCCTTCAGTAATCTGTGATCAATGAGTCAGTTGTTTGTCATGGCACACACATAAAGAGGCACAAAATTAATGGTGACTGGTGAGCATCACAAGTTCACAACAGATGAATTCCTCTTCATCTTCGAAATCTGCAACTTTTTTCTGAGCACTTGACTTATAAATGTTGATGCATATAGTGCATTTTAATATTATCAATGCATGATAGTTCTATATCTTATGTCTTTATTGTCTCTTTCTGTTGTCTTAAAGTGTCTCACTAATTTCTACTTTAATATTTTTATGAACAGTTCTATAATTTTGTATTGCTCATACTCCCTGAATAGATTTAGTTGTAATATTTTCTTCCCTATTGTGATGTATATCCGAGTGAAACGGCTTCTGAACTATTTTTGAGCTTCTGTTGTAATTTTTTGTTGAAATGATTATTGGGACTTAATTATTACGATAATTCACTATTACCACACATTATTCACCTCAAAAGAACTGCTATCTCAAACACAATTTAGTTGTTACAATCTACAGTAGGCCTAGCAATAAACCCACTGTTAAACTAAAAACAAATAAGTTATTTTTCACTCCTTTTTAAAACACCGTCCGTCAGCAAATAACGCCACAGTGGAAATGTGAGTATCATCATTCACGTGTGCACAATCATCCTGATGGAATCATGTGATCATGACTGTCAGCTGACACGGAAGTTTATTCATTGTGCAGCTGTCGCTTGGAATATTACATTATCCAGCAATCTCCTCATGAAAGTAGTTTTATGAATATTTGTCAGTTGCTTGAAGGCTGTTGCGTGTGAATCTAACATGGATCCTCGCGTGGCCGCGCTTATCATTTCGCTCTTCTGTGCGCTCTGCACCGGCGTCGCGCAAGACTTGGACACAGGTAGAGATTAAAAGTATTTCATGCATTGAAAAAATGATAACTTTAATGAGTAAAACACAATGTAATGTAACTCTAATGCAATAGAGGGGCTGTCAGACGCGTCCGTGTACCTTCAGCAAGAGTCCAACAGCACCAACTCGTCTGATCTGACTTATGGGTTCATATCCTGCGCCGTGGCCGCAGTCTTTTTCGGGAGCAACTTTGTACCAGTGAAAAAGATAGATACTGGTGATGGTTAGTCAAGATTTTCCTATTTTTGACACTTTTGTTGATGACGTTTGCCTTCCTGTTGATGTGTTTGCTTAGTGATTCTCAACTGACTTTTCTTCGAGTCGCTGCAAATTTTTATGGTAAATTATGTCAACAGAAATGACTTTCAAGTAGCCTAATGTTTCGACAACATTTAAAAGTCTTTCCTTTTACTCACCATCAGTATAAAACCTTTCTGTCGTTCTGTTGAACATAAAAAAGTTCATCATTCAATTTCATTGTGTGGAAAAAAAGATGCAATGAAAGTGGTAACTGAGGCTCTCATTCCCTAACAATTTATTTTTGTGTTCAATGGAAAGTCATACAGGTTAAACACAACATAAGGTTGAATTAGTAATGACAGAATTGTCTTTTATTTCATTGAAATGTTGTAGTAGTAGCTAAACTGAAGGACTTGTGCCAAATAGAGTTTTCAGTGTTGATTCTAGGGACTCTATGAGTCAAAAAAATGTTGTAACAGAGTAATACAATTGTTTTATAAGAATGTCACATATATATCATGGAAATATATAGATTTAAGCAGTTCACCTGCAGTGTTTCCACAAGACCCCAACAGTTGAGAAAACATCAAACCCCAGCAAACAGAATGTTACACTATATGGTTGCCATTAATAAATAAATAAATAAAATAAAGATTGGAACCAATCATCCAAAAGTATGGGGAATTTGGGTTTCTAAAAATATTACCGGGTCTCATAATATATTTTTTTTCCTTAATATATATATATATATATATATATATATATATAATGGGCTATACTGCTTTGAAAACACATGGAAGAGTGAAAGTGTGCTCAATAAATTTTCATTTATTTTCTGTTCACCATACTGTGCAGGTATGTTTTTCCAGTGGATTTTATGTGCTGCTATATGGACAGTCTCCTTAGTGGTGAACATCATTCTGAACAGTCCAAAATTTTGGCCTCTTGTTATGGTGGGAGGAGCCATCTGGGCTACTGGTAACATCTGATTATTTAATTTGCATGGATAATTTTAGCATTTGATCATTACTGCTTGATGTATAGATTATGTTATTACATAGACCAACAAGTTTAACTGTCATATTTGAAAAAAAATTCTCATTTATGTTTTTCAGTGATGATTCAGTTCTGTCACATGTTTAAGTCTTTTTTTTTATGTGTGTGTTTTCTATAGGTAATATAACTGTAGTTCCTATCGTAAAGACTATTGGGCTTGGTCTTGGTCTTCTTATATGGGCTTCATTTAATTTGCTCTTGGGTTGGGCCAGCTCACGGTAAATAAAATCTGCTTTCAGAATCCAAATAAGGAACTTTATTAATATTCTGCTTTATCATACACTGACTCTTGCTACTGATTTTAGGTTCGGTTGGTTTGGTATTGGTGCTGAGACTGTTTCCAAACCAGTATTGAACTACTGTGGAGCAGGTCTTTGTTTAGTTAGGTAAATGTGATGCATTCATATTATTTATTTTATTTTTGCATGCCATAGAATGTGATGTTACTTTTTAGTTCTCTTTTTTTCTCTCCCCCTTTTAAATCCTTTTCATTTTGTATGTTTACAGTGCCATTGTTTTTTTCTTTGTGAAGACTGATGTTCAAAGGTCATCAACATCTGAAGAAACCCCTTTACTAATAGACCATGTACGTTGAAACATTGAAAATTGTGACATTTATGGAGGCCCTAAGGGAGCAAAGTGGTGCACAAAAATATGAGATGGAAGGAAAACTTTGTGTTTGGCTGTAATTTGCTTTTTTTATGAGTAAATGCAAAGTTTCTGCGGGGAACAACAAACTTTTAGCAAAACAACACAAAGTGTCTCAGGGAAAAAGAACCCAAAAGAATTTTAATGACTTTTTGCGTTCGCTGGTAAAAAACATTCTTTGTACTAGGGATAATAGAAAAACATCTAAAAAATTCCCCTCCCATTTCATATATTTTCCATCACCATGTTGTTCCTTTAGAGGCTTTGTACATTTTCAAATGTCGCATTTTTAAATCATTCAGTTAAATGATTTTATCAATTTAATCTGAAGGCTGTGAACTCAGAAACTGTGGTGGCAACAGATGATTCCTGGGTGGATGCATTAAGACCACGGACCAAACGTATTGTGTATGTACACATCACACTTCTATCTTACATATTGGATTAATAATTTAATTTACATTATATAGCATCAGTATCTAAACATACAGAATCAAAAATCAGATTTTTTTACTGAGTAAATGTACATTTTGGACTAATAATATCAACCGCAATAAAATTCTAATTAAAATATCGGAGTATCTGCATGCCCATACTGTATCTAATAAGAATAATGCACTCATAAACAACTTTGAATGTTATGCCTTTCAGTGGAACGTGTCTTGCTGTCGTCGCTGGAGTGCTGTACGGGTCATCATTTGTTCCAGTTCTGTACATTAAAAATCATGCAGATGATCCAAAAAGCCAATACAGTGGAGCTAGCCAGTTTGGTAAATCCGGATTACCTCATGATGGGCATTGGCTGAATTCTTAAATATGAACTATAATGCATTTTGTTTGTGTAGATCTGGATTACGTCTTTGCACAATATAGTGGGATTTTCCTCACTAGTACAGTGTATTTCCTCCTGTACTGTGCCATCAAAAAAAACAAACCACAAGTTTTTCCAAAAGCAGTGCTGCCAGGTAAACACCTTCACTTCCGTTTCATTTTCACTTCCTTTTGAATTGTTTATCACCTTTCTTCCGCATACCTCTGATGTCATTTTGAATAGCATGATGTTTTTGTTTTCCGTGTAGGATTCGTTTCTGGCATCATGTGGGGTGTGGCCACGTGCTGCTGGTTCCTGGCCAACCACTATCTCAGCGCTGTAGTGAGCTTCCCTATCATCACCACAGTGAGTGACAGATCTCAAAAGGATCTTTTTGTACTTTTACATTTGAATTTTAATGGTAACATTGCTATTAAATGCTCCATTTTAGGTTCCTGGACTGATTGCAGCTCTTTGGGGTGTTGTAGTGTTTAAAGAAGTGAAGGTAAATACTTTGGTGTACGAGTTCTGCTCCTGCGTTCTATTGCTTTTATATTGCATTGAACTCCCTGTCTCTTCCTCTCTTTCCCTCAGGGTTGGCAAAATTACATTGTCCTCATCGTTGCTTTTTGTCTTGTTCTATCTGGGGCATTATTGACTGCATTTTCAAAGGTTTAAACCTTTTAAGACAAGAGCGAGAAATGTACAAAACAAAGTCTTCGGTGGAGCGTTTTAACGTTATATTTTTTTATTTAAAAACACTGCTGTTTTAAATATTTTAAATATTGTAAATGAGAGATTTTTTTTTTGTATGCGGTTTATACAGATTACGCAGCTACAACAACCTGAATAAAATCAAGAAGAATTATATTAGGGAGGGATATGGTCCTAAAATACTTGAAATGTTTCAGCAATATTAGCACAGATGTTATGGTAATGTTATTGGGAAGTTACGTAATTATATCTCATTATATTTTACTTCTATTTGAATTATCACACTTTTTAAGTCATGTTTACACTATAGTGGATCTCATTTCACTATATGTTTGCACATGTAATGTTTATTATGTTTATTATATTGATGGATCTGACTGCACTGGATAAAAGCTGGAGTTATGTAGCATAAAGGCAATAGAAAACAAAGCTTATTTTAAAGCAAACTTTAAAAAGGTGGTGACTTTTTATGACAATTATGCAAACTTTTCACATCCATTCCATTAAAATATTGGGGGGAAATGGCATTAATATCACCATGTTAACTTTTCATGTTCTAAAAAGTAGGCTTTGTTTTCTTTTATATAATTTCTAAGCAATTTATGAAAAAGTTTATGAAATAATGTGAAATTTGTAGCATGTTATTTACAGGTTTTACCCATGTAATGATTCATTGATTCCTAATTTGTTTTATTGTTGCCAAAATGCATCAAAGGCCTTAGTTTTTTATATATATTTTTTACTTTACTAAAAGGGAAATAAATATTCAAATACAAAGTTAATGTTTTTAAAAGTTAAAGTTTTTTTTAATGTTTAAAGTTGAGTTTATATATATATATATATATATATATATATATATATATTGATAGAATATGTTATAAAGGGAAATGCAATATTCCAGGTAGGCACAGTGCTGGACTGCCATGCCAGGAAATACAGGAATTCCAAAGAGAACTTAAATTTTCACTTGACAAAACATGTTTATTTTAAACTGTAAAAAATGTGTTTTAATAAAATAACAACAAAGTGGAAAAAACAACTTTAAGCCCAACTAATTCCCTCCAACTAAAGCACTTTCTTGTCAACAGTCCCTCTACATGACACCTGTACTTAAAATTAACTTGTCATTAAATTAATTCTCTAATATGCTTATGACTAAATATTAAAGACTCTTGAATGCTTTAAAATGACCATCTACTGGCAGACCTACAAGCCCCTCATGAGAGATAAGAGGCAGTAACTTCCTTTAGTAGCTCTTGAAACGTGTTTTCACATCACACGTCTCAACAGAATCTACAACAAAGTTTTATTGTCCAATTTTCTGGGTGGGAAGAGGAAGTGGCCCCTGGAACACAGTCTGAAAAGTGTTCTGGATCTACATGCATCAGTTTGGTTTCATGGGAGCAGGTAGGTTTGCTGAGGCCTGCTCCAGGAAGGCCAGTGGACCCTGTGGCAGCTCTGTGGGCTTCTTGTGCTGAACGTTAATGTCCTCCAACACCTGCTGCCAATGATGGATCTTAACAAGGTGTTTCTGAATCAGCATCTCCTTCCGCTGGAGTTCATTCTTCAGCTCTGATGCATCCTGAAAGAACAAACGCACATATATTTGAACTACAGTAGACGGTGTTTCAAATGTCACAATGGAACTGTAAAACCGTATAAGATAGTATTGGTTTAAATCATGTACGCTTGGATTTTTATCAATGCTGCAGAGAATTCAAAGGCAAAAATAGAAGTTTACCTCTTTTTCCACCTGTTCTGGTTTCTGTACAGACAGCTGTAATCTCTTCTGAAGGAAGAAACATTCAGTCTGTCTGGCCACATCCAGAAACTTCTGTATACACTGATCAACCCCTGAAATACACAACAGGCTAAATCAGTATGGCAATACATTATTGGTAAAACCATTGATTTTTCATGCACTGGTCTTTTTTTGGATAAGCAGAAAGAAAACATCCAAATTACACTATCTATTTGCATCTGTAGATTTTCTCATTGAGCCAGAAATCTCCACTTCTGTGTGTTAATTCAAAATTATATTTCAGAAAATGTACTGAGTTTAATCAACTGGGAAAGTATGGTGATATCTATTAGTAATCATCTTTCCCTATTCATCTGTGGCGTTGTTTTAAAAAATAATATATGAATACATTTTTAAACTAATTTTAGAATTTGCTGAATTTTGAAACATTTTCTGTATTTGAAAACATTGTATTACCATGTTTTGGACTTGACACTATGGAAATGTCATGGAATTCTTTGAAGCAGCTTGTAGTATATGATATAAATATGTTAATCCTTCATCAATAAATGTATTAATATTCCCATTTGATATCATAGCATAGCTTTATAAGGAACAACAGAAGAACACAATTTTTCTTTACCTGTCCGAATTTCTTCCTGGTCGGTTCCATTCACATAGTCTTGACTGACAAGAGACGCAAAACACGCCTGGGAAAAATAAAAACATTAAAGAACATTATTAAAGCAAAAATAAATGAATAACAGCATCGGTTATATTACTACACTGGCAGTTATATAATAACTCCACTAACAATAACGACACAATTTCGATCTACAGTTAACCAAACAATTAATTTCTACTAAATGCATTCAACTTGTGATTATATATTAAACATAAAACAAGAACATAATATTAAATATTTTTTTTTAAAAATCAATGCGTGCATAATCAGTTAACAAATTATCTACAATAAGCCACTCTTAGTATAACGTTAATTGCACAGAAACGTTCACTGGCATGATATGATTGCAGCAACAGTTTTCTTGATCTCACCTCGAAAGAAGCTTCCAGATCATCTACTAAAGTGTTATTTGTCCCTCTATTACCGGGAGGACCTGTGAGAAGCCCTGGCTGACCTGGACCTGTAGGTGGATGAGACCCCGACGGCTGCTGACCAGTAAACATTCCGCCCATGGACGACGCCATTTTTCCACTAACAACACAACTACTCTTCTTCGCTTCCGTCTCAGTCTCTTGAAAGAGTAATGTGTCGCCACCTATTGCACAGGACGTGCATTGCAAGTCATACATGCTATGTTTCATAAGAGTTTCTTGAAAACAAACATATTTAAAAATACTAATGAATTTGATGATGTTGTTGTTGCATCCAACAAAATTGGACATAGTAATAACAACCTGTATGAGATTCGTTCTTCTGCTGAACACAAAGGAAGATATTCCGAAGAACGAATGGAACTTTGGCTTCCATAGTATTTTTCTACCATCATGGAAGTCAACGGTGCCAAACAACTGCTCCAATCGTTCTTCAAATTATCTTCCTTTCTGTTCAGCAGAAGAAAGAAGCTCATGCAGGTTTGCAACAACTTGAGGGTGAGTAAATGATGACAGAATTTTCATTTTTGGGTGGAGTATTCATTTAAAATGAAGAAAAAAAACACAACAACAACGTGAATGCGTTTTAAATGGAAAAAATTAGGGACCATTGCACCGCGAAGCTCAGCCTATATTTCAATTTAGTTTAGGCCTATTGTAGGCTAATTAATTATGTAGGCTACAATGTCAAATTAACCAAACTGTGTGAAGATATGATATAATTGAATTTGTGCATATTTAGGGTAGCCTACATAAAATTTTAAAGTTCACTTAAAGGGATAGTTCACCAAAAAATTAAATTCAGTCATAATTTAGGCTAATTCCTTATGTTGTTCCAAACAAACCTGTATGGATTTCTGTTTCTCTGCTGAACACAAAAGATGATATTTTAAAGAATGTCGGTAATAAAACAGTTAGCCATTACTTCTATAGCCTTTTTTTTTCTCTCTCTCTGTGGAAGTTAATGGGTGCCCTCAACTGTCTGGTTACCAACATTCTTCAAAATATATATGTTTTTGTGTTCAACAGAAGATAGAAGTTCATACAGGTTTTGAACAACTTGAGGATTAGTAAATGATGACAGAATTTTTATGAGGGGGTGAACTATCCCTTTAACAAGAACACTGTTGCCTTTGGCTTGCTCAGTTGGGGATATTCAAATTAATTAACCAATCAGTAATACCCTTGATTAGTTCTACCAAATGTGGATGTTTTTCCACTAAGAAAGAAACAAACATTGTCATTATATTATACTGTGAAGCTGCTTTGATACAATCTATATTGTGAAAAACGCTATATAAATGACTTGACTTGACTTGACATTTTATTAGAAAAAAAAAATCATCATAATCATGTGTTCATTGAGGTGGAAATGTTTGCAATACCTGGGACATAAAGGAAGGCTATACCCAATGATTAATTTTGTGTCTTATATTGTACCCATTGCATCCTGAAAACCATACTTTGTAGATTTCATGCCTTTGAACATTGTTCAGTACAAACACACACGGATGAATAACAGCTCACAGTTCAGTTCACCCATTTTGACCTTCTCACTGACTTGGGTCTTTTAAAGAAGTTTGAGGAAAAAGAACCATGCAGATAAAAAGTGACAGCTCGCACAAACAGGTCAGAGAGAAAGTTCACTGACATTTAAAAGAGCTTGATCTCAAGAGCTACTGCTAATGTAATTGACAGAAAAATCTATTGAACTTCTGTCTAGTTGTCATTAAGTGTAAGAAGAGTGTTTCAAAACCTCTTCCTGTGCGTTCATTTTTTGGACAACATAATTTTACCAACTTTTAATGTCTGTTTCATGTTTAATGAAAATAAAAAAAATTATTAAATAAAATGACAGTAAACATTATTTTTTTAAATTCACCCTGACATTGTAATAGTAGTTGGTTTAATATAAAATTGAACCTTTTAAAGGGAGTATTTTCTGTTCTATATCTAATCTATTCAGTTATTTTGCTTACATTTGCTTATGTGGACTGTGATATTTTTGTTAGAAGAGGACTGTGTTAATTATAAAACAGATAAATTACTTGAATGATAGTAAATAATGCTTCCAAACTGAATTGTGTCCATTGGCATGAACTCATTTTCTCGCTACTTTACTACCACCAGGTGGCGCTGCTCTATTCACGAGAGTATGAGAAATTTCACATCACGCATTCAGTGGAACGTTTTAATGTCAGGTCAAGGGTTCAATGGTTTTTCAACTGATTCCACGACATTTGTCCCGGTAGATTTACTTTTAAAAGACAATTTCTAATAACTTTAAGTTTTGGCTACCACAAGATATTGACAATTTCCACTGGTATCACCCAGGAAAACAAGATAGATCAATAAGCATGGTTGACACTGTGAAGACATGCCTCAATAGCCTGGCATGCCACTGTGAATATTATTGACTTTGCAGCAAGATGTTAAAAAGCAAATAAAAAAAAAACACAAAATGTGTTTGCCTAAGACTAAGTTATATAAATGTATATAAATTTACAATTAAAATTCATGTGACAACTTGACCTGACATTTATAGGATTTTTTTTCTTTTCCTGAGAGCACACTTTAACCTTTCACTTTAACCTTATTTAATCATCATAATACCCCTAGTTGACTCTTGCCAGTATATGCCAGTATGATTTATTATGTTCACTTGTTTACCTAGCAGCTATCACAAAAATATGAAATGTTAGGACAGAATTCACAATAATAATAATAATAATTTACCTGATTTAAGAGGATTTTGAACTATTTTTTATACAAGTAGGCTATGTGTAAGTCAAGTCAAGTCAAGTCACATTTATTTATATAGTGCTTTTCACAATACAGATTGTATCAAAGCAGCTTCACAGTGATAACATGAAAGTAGTAGAACACAGATCAATAATATTGCTAAACACTAAATAACCCCAACTGAGCAAGCCAAATTCGACTTTGTAATTGGACTTTTTCCTCTAAAAACTAGCCCTGTCTTCCTGTATATATTTTTCTATATCTAACTGTTAAAAATAAAGGTTCCAAAAGGGGTTTTCGCCATGATGCCATTTTTTATTACTGTCAATCCTGTTTTTACTCTGTGTACCTTGTGGTACTATTCTGTTTATTTATTCTGCATTTACTAGTCATTTGGACTGTCTACGTGTCCACCTGAAGTTACTGTTTCTTTTTTATCCATTGCCATGCAATGTATACTAAAAATGGCATTGAGTTTGACTTGGACTTTTTACATTTTAATAATCTGAAGAACCTTTTTTCACCCCTTTGGTCATCCTTCATATTAGATGTATTTAACTACATAATAACTGATCGGTAGAATAGCTTGTACCTTTTAAATATAAGTACAATGTACACAATAAGTATTAAATGATTATTTTAAAAGTTATAATTTAAGACACTTAATATCAGGGTTGGGGACTCAAATTGCATGATATAATCAGAAAAGACTTGCGACTCGACTTGAATTGAACTTGAGCCATGTGACTGGGAAATTCTTTATGGTAATAATCATAATCTCGTCACTTTCCTTTCAAAAGTATGCATTTATCACATCATGTCTGGACTATTGTAATTCTTTGTATCTTGGTCTTCCCCAATCTTATTGGCACCTTTGCAGAGGGTTCAGAATGCAACGGCTAGACTCTTATAGGGCAAAAAAACATGATCATATCACTCCATTTTTAGTTTCTCTTCACTGGCTGCCTGTCTGAATTCAGTTCAAAATGTTGCTGATTCTTTTTAAAGCTCTATAATGGACAAGGCTTACATTTCTGATCTATTTAATTTGAATTCAGCTCCTAAGTCCATCAGGTCTGCCAATAAAGATTTTATGTCCCACGGTCTTGTCTTAAATCGACAGGTGACAGAGAGCTTTGCAGTTGCTGCTCCACGGTTATGGAATCAGTTACCACCTGACATTAAGAGTGCTCCTTCTAAATCTAGACTTAAGACACATCTTAGCTCTAGCCTTTTCTGATTATCTTTTATTTAGATTTTCACTCTATTTTATTGTAGGCCTATTTTTTATAATTGTTTTTGTACAGCACTTGGTCAGTGAAAGTTGCAGCAGCCTAAAAAAAATAAATAAAAAATATAGCTGCGAGCAGCGATGGCGGGCCCAAGCCGGTGGCACCGCAACCCCTGGCTCCTTTAGTTACCTAAAGGCACCGGGGTGGCGGTGCCGAAGGCTTTGGCCCTTTCATGATTAAATGTTAAAACGGCTTGCCATAGTCTGTCATTTTGACTAGTCACAATTATGTTACAGATATCTTAAATGATAATACAAACTATCCAAAATGTAATTACGACTAGACAGAAAGACATTGTTGATATCTACAATGTTAATTTACGGATAGGCAAACTTAGCTTTTAAATGTTAAAAGGGCTTGCCATACACGGACGTAGGCTCAGAGAGAGTCTCACCATATTCAAACCAAAATATCTGACTTCCTCTTGGTCTGAGCTAATGACTATGAATTAGAAAGTTGTCTGGCTTGAGGAGTACAATGTATATAACGATTTTTGTAACTGTAGATAAAAATAACAACCCCACTTTTGTCAAAAGGTGGCGCTATTTAGTCCCTGCACCATGCCCGTTTCTGAAACTTTGCACATGTCTACTGGCTAATAAATGTGATGTGTCTGTTGAGTTTCATGCAATTTCAAGCATGCTAAGAGTCTCAAAAGCATCCTAAAATAATTTCAAAGTTTGAAGCTTTGCCACGGCAACAGTTTAAAAGATATCAAGAATCCATTCACAGGTCTACATCTACCGTATGTTTACATTATACAGATGAAGTTTTTCATCTGTTTTTCATCATTATACAGATGAAGTTTTTCATCTGTTTACATTATACAGATGAAGTTTTTCATTCATATTATTACATGCAAGCGTGTTTGATTTATGGACCAAGTTTTCGGACCCCGTTCCAGGGGCGCTGTCTAGCCCCCCTGCCACGCCTAGGTACCATCTTCAGCCCGGGCCTGATGGCTGTGGGATATGACCTGTGTGCAAAGTTTCAAGAGTTTTCAAACCCGTTAAGGGCCTCAAAAGCCATTAAGAGTCTCAAAATCATCAAAAAAAAAAGAATTTTAAAGTTTGATGCGTTGCCACGGCAACAGTA